CAGTGTTTTTCAACCTTCTTGAATACGCGACCCCTTTACAAGTTAAAAAATTCTGGCGACCCCCCAGGGCCATATTAAAACTATATCAGTGATTCTAAAAACTACGTATTTAATTTTCTTTCCTTAAATATCGATAGAAAAACCAATTGTACTGTAAAATAAACAGGCACAGCCTTCTCACTGAAATTCTAGATTTTTTTATTGTAGTGCAGGACCTACAAACACTTGTCTTTTTCTTTCACCCGCGACCCCCATGTAAGGCTTTGCGACCCCCTGGGGGTCGCGACCCACGGGTTGAAAAACACTGCTCTAATCTCATCCTATCCTGAACCATTTTCTCTATATCATTCCAGTTCAGGTTCCAATTCCTTAAGGTCTTTTTCACTGGTTCTCTTAAAGATATTTTATGGTTTTCCTCTCTTTCTCTTGCCATTGAACATTTGAACAGTTGTTTTGGCAGTCATTCATCCTCCCTGTGTGTCTAATTCATTTCTATCTTTGCTTCTTGATTTTTTCTAGTTTGGGAGTTTGAACTCTATCTATTTCTTCATTTGTGATTTTGTGAAACCATCTCAAGGATTTAGTTTCAAAAGAGGATAGTTTCCATAATCGGTTTTCATTTATTTTCCAACTTTTGGAACCATAAAGAACAGCTGTCCTGGCATTTATGTTGTATAACCTAACTTTTAATTATGTTGGTATAGATATCAATAATTATATATATAGTATAGCATAGATCATCCGAATCAATTGGGGACTGGGGTTGTTTGGAAAATCAATTTTTTGGATAACCGATTATGTATGAAAAAATATATTAACCTATCCCATGTTGAAATTCGTTCAAATCCTGGCATGTCCTTAAGTACCCTCTCATGGTCACGCCATTGCTGCTGGCTAAAACATGCACACCAACAAAAATAATATTGAAGTAGCCCAAGACATAGCCAAAGATTGCAGCGCCACAGCACTAGCACAAATTTAAATTTATCGACTGGAATGTTTTTGATTAATTGATGTTTTGGTTGATCAATATTTGGATATTCAATGCTCTACTGTACTATAGTTCTAAAACTTAATATCTTTCTTGTGATGAATTTCATGAAATAAAATAAATTTTTCTCATTTAATCATAGGACATACATACAATAGGACAAATGCAAAATTTAGCAAATAATGTTGATATTGATAACAATATATTTTGGCTTCAATTTCTGAACAGTCAAAAATAATCTCTGAAAGCTGTAAAAAGTATTTAATTATTTATCCAAGAAAGTATGAAATGAGCAATGCCTAAAATTAAAAATATATAAAGTTTTAATTTTCAAGTGTAGGCTTTGTTAAATAGTATATAATGAACTGCTTTAGTGGAATAATACCAGTACTTATAAACTTAGAAAATTTGATTAGTGTTTTCAGTTAAAACTCATCTTCAGACAAAGTTCCAATGTTCTAGTAATATATTGTTATATACTTAATCTGGAGTTTTCCATATTTTTTAAGAAAATATTAACATACCACTATTTAGAAACAATGTATTAATTTTAGCATGATCATAGTTTCTATTTGCAATAAATTTCAAAAACTAATACAATATATAGTTTCTTATTGGTAAACTATGCAACAGACATCATACATGTTAAATGCAAGATTCTAAACATTTTAAAGTTAATATTGATAAAAATTATCAATAAATAAAGCAACTTTAAAACTGACCTTCCAATTTGCTGTACAATGCCACTGATCATTTTCATCTAAATCCCAAACCTGAAAAAAGTAAAATGTAAAAATTATAAATAACTTATGAATCAATGCATATAATATTCTGTTATATCTGTAAACTATCATATTGTCTTCACCTTCATTAACTCTTTCAAACATCTTTGAAAATAATCTTTGAAAATTCTTTAATTCAAAAGATTTGTAAATTTTCAGTTTTACTTTTAGTTTTGTCCTTCATTTTAAAATTTAACTATTAAATTGGTTTTTAGTATTATATTTCTGAATGTAAAATAAAAGAAAATTACACATTTTAATTTTAAATTTAATAAAAATGTAATGGTCTTTAAAAATATAAAATTAAAAAAGTATAATTCTTTACTTAATTTGTCAAGAGAAGCTGAAAATTAATGAAAGGCAATTTTAAACAGTTCTAAACAAATAATTAAATTGGTCAATATATCAACGTAAGCTTAACAATAAATCAACTTTTTCATTTAATTAACCGTTAAAAATATAATATAGCCTAAATAACAACTTTACAATCAATAAATTTAATCATGAATAAAAGCTAAATTCATGTTATTGAAGTTATGTGATAGAATATTAAAATACCAACAATAACAACATTCACTATTTGATTTAGTAATTTTATTCTTTTCTGTTCTATGCTAAAGAAAAGAATTTTGTTAACCATGCTTTCAAGCACCATGGCATAACAAATAATTAAGTATCTTTTGTCTATAATTTAAATTTTGTATTTATTAGAAATACAAAAGGAGAGAGAGTGCTCTCTCAAAGTAGAAAGTTGACATCTTTGTGCTCTCGTAAAGCATATGAATAAAGCATATTAATTATAGCACTAAAAGAAAACAAAATTATTTTAAGAATTCATATATTGTACAAAAATCAATAAAAAAAACATAAAATAAATGTATATTTGGATAATTATATTGTTTTTTGTTCCAAACAAATGACATTCTCTATCAATGGAATTAGTATCTAAAATATTCAGAAAATAAGTATATTAAATTTATTGAAACAGAAAAATTCCTATTCCCTTAAACTGCATAATTAACAAGAATTAAAAGAATTAAAATTAAATATTAAAAGAATACTTATTAGAATAAAAAATATTAAAAGAATACTTAGATCTCATCTTCAGATTCTACAATCTTTGAGCAACAGAACTTTTTTATTTATAGGAAAAGATTTGTAAAGTTTTAAAAAAAATCTATAATGAATGATTACCAATGACCATCTAAAGCTGTAGCATATCCAGAAATGATTAAAATTAGTTTTTTTTTAAATAAATCAAATGATAAATTCTTGAAGTGTCATTAAATAATGTTAACAACTATTATATTTGTAGAATTAGTCATGAATGAATTATTTTCCAGTTTTTATTTATATTTTGACAGGAGGAATTTCTCCTCTTCAGAATGACTGAATGTTTCTCCCCATGATATTATTAATAAATAGATTTCAATAGGACAGTGTTACTTATGATTTCAAAATATTCAAAATACAACAAATGTGTAAACTTGCAAATAACATATTTACTAAGCAAACGAAATTAAATTGCAGTATTTTTCTTCAACAAATTCAAACGTCTTTATATAAAGATTTAAAAAAGGACAAAATGATTTCAAAAAGTTCCTACCTTTACACTGTGATCGCTAGAACATGTGGCCATTCGCCTGCCGTAAAAGTCATAAGCAACGTCATGAATCAAATCCTTGTGATCCGCGGGGATGCTTCGGGCGATAAACATTGCCTTTCGTTTAGTATTTTCCACTTCACTCAGTCTAATAATGAAGATGAAAACAATCCACCTTCTATACACTTCCACAAACACAAACACGCTTTGCGATACCCCCTGGTGATTAGAAATGGAACTTGTGTTCATAATTAAATTGGAAGTAAAGATTATCTATTGGTTTGGTCAAGGTTATGGGCAGGTTACTTTCCGTACAAAAAAGAACTTTAAAAACAGTACGAAAATAATACAAAAAACATTAATTTGTATACTTAACTTACGATTTAATAAAAGATCTTTACACAAGCCCATGGTGAGAGACGAGACCCGACATGCCCGGGACAGATCACCTCCGAAATACTCTGGGTGTTTTTTACCCGGCCAAATTCGTCCCCGAGTCTCCCAGAACGATAGGATGACATCTTAACCATTCGGCCATCCGGTAGTCATCAGATAAAATTGTCCGAGTACTACAGTCTGCAAACAGCTAAGTTATGTTTGTAAATGATTAGGCAGGAATCGACTTCAATTTGAAAGGCGAAAAATCATTAATTTTTTCCAAATTCCGGGATACTTTCGGCCAATCCAAGAGAGTTGGCGACTATGTTTGCTAAGGAAAACAAGATGGCCGAACAGCCTGTCATTTGAGCCATTCTAACCTGACTGTGGGGAGATGTTGGGGCCAACAGATACATGAGGGCATGCATTATACGGTGTGGATGTCCGTCTGTAGCAGATCCACCGTATAATGGGCTGGATGTCCCAAACGGACGACTAGAAAAGATGATCGTCTGATTGTGAGACAGGCAGAACAATTGCAAACGCATCTTTTTGTCAGTAATCCATATACAGGTGGAACCCACCACTGCATCCTGTTTGACAGCCGAGCGGTTAAGATGGTAATCTATGCTCTGAAGGGACCTGGAATTAAATACGGAAGAGTCGAATAACTTCAAGAATTTTTTGGGAATCTGTTTATATTTGTTGGGTTCCGTTCCTCGCCATACGGCCGCAAATTTGTAATGGGCTTGTTAAAAATATGGCCTCATTTTTAGTTTTTCCACAGAGCGGAAAGATTAAAAACGAAGCAGTTTCTTTTCCCGCACTATTGACAGACGACTAGCAGAGACAAATATGTATATGTATATCATAGCACTCCAGTATCGTCAGCTTTGTTTGCAGTGGTGCCATGATAAAGAAAGCATGGACTGCTACAGACTGGCAGCGCGTCGTCTTTAGTGACGAATACCATTCTCTTTATAAATGAACGACCATTGTGTTAGTATGGAAGTCTACTGGTGAGCGCTTCAATCCCATCTTTACTGTTGAACAGCACCTCTCCCCACTGCTGGAGGCTGTTTGGGTTTGACAATCGGTCATTCGTAGTAGTAGTAGTGTAAAGGATTGAGTGCACAGCGATACATGCAGGAAATCCAATGTCCTTATGTGTCACTTTTCATGACAGAGCTACAACATTATCCGGCAAGATCGCAGAGATGCCATGTGGAATAATTGAAAAATCATCAAATATGGACATAAAAAGTTAATAGATTTTTGTCACTACAGATAGGATTATTCAGTATCTTTGCATGAATATAGTTACACGAAAATTCTAAAACAATAAAATTGACAATACTGTAATAAATTATATGTGATACATAATAAATCAGACAAAGCAGTAACCAATTACTGCAATTACTTGGCAATATAATCTGTGTCTTTATAGAAAGTAAAGTTATTGCTTTAAAAATGATTTAAATTTCTAGATGCAATCTTGATTATTTCTGTTTTATTGTCACAGATCTTCGAAGAAATTCAGAGACTTCGGTCTCTTTGTATATTGCTTTAATTGATTTTTTCTTTATTTATTTCGTTTATTCTTTGCTTATATTTATTCATTTTTCATTCGTTTATCTTATTTATTCATATTTACTTTTTAGTTATTCGTTTCTTATAGTTCTTTGTCATTCGTTATTGTTATTGTTGTTGTGTGTCTTTCGTTTTGTATTTTAGAAATTTAAAGTAAAAAAAAGTTTTTAAGTTGAGAAATTTACAAATTTGACTTCTCACAATTTTGACCCATATGAATGTTTCTACTTCCTAATTTTGACTCTCCAGAATTGTAACTACCCTTGAACTTTGATTACCGAATTGTCTATCCACTAATTTTGACTTTCGAATTATGTCTGTACTGGAATTTTGATGCTCATTGATTGTGTCCTGATTAATGTCTTTTCTCGATCTATATCAAATCCCGACCGAAATCTTCTGAGAATTGCATCAAAGAGAAAAAAATCTGCAACTTAATCCCCGGCAACGTCAACTCTGGAATATTATCTAATTTGATTGAATGTCTGATGAACATGAAAATACACGGAAAGACAAGAATTAATACAGAAAACAGAAGATGAAAGAAAGGAAATAATTTACGGAGTACGAAAATATAACGAAATTTTTAATATAAAATTCACGTTGAATGAAATATACCTTGAAATGGTAAGTGGGTTTTTTTTAATCACGAACATATAAATTTGAATATCGTTAAGCATTTGATAAAGAATTGCTAAAAAATTTTAAATTTACAAAATTTAAGAAAATTCTTAAAAAAGACAATACAAAAGTTTTTCTTGTAAATTTTTGTAATCGTTAAGCATTGTTTATCGTTTCAGATTACGAATAATGAATTTTTGTTTCAGAAATGTTTGCATGTTCGAGGGAATTGATTTATGAAAAGTCTCCTAAACAAAAACAAAAAACAGGGATACGTTCGAACTAATTTGAATTTAAAACCAACATAATGCAATTGAAGTCCTTAGAGTTCTTTAAGGAAATACTCTCTCAAGACTATTGACTGTGATCAATTTGAAAACTTAGATCCTTCTAAATTTATCTTGTAATGCGATGTCATTCGAATCATTCTGTACACGCTTTTGATTCTATAATAAAGTTAATAATTTGATTTGGCGTGAAGTTATTTCAAAATTACAAAATTGATACATTTTGTTGTTTTTAGATTAAAAAATGACATTAAATACGATTAAAAGCTACGGTATATTTTATGCTTATTTTGTCGAACAATCCGTGATTACCCTATTACTTCAAAAGTGGCAACAATGCAACGAAGACTAATGATCTCATCCGAAAAGCGTTTGTTAAATCATTCGTGGCTGAACAGTATCGACTAGCTGTTACAAATGTCAAAGGACCGATAGAGCAGAATAAGAACATGATCTGCGTTTCTTTGCAATTATCATGATGGAGTCGCTTCCAATCAAGATCGCTGCCACGAAAAATTCTATTGTTAACAACCGAATCGATTTAAAACAAAAATCAAAGAACTTGGTACAAAAATTGATAGTATCCGATAACACCCGGTTTAGTATTAAAAATTTGAAATATATTGAGGTCTATATATATTTTCTCGTATCATCTTTCTCTCATTATCGTCTATTCGTATTATATCTGGCTTTACTAGGATCAATTAACAATAGCCGAAGATAATTCTCAACAAGAATATCTTATGAACAATCTATGTAGTTTACATCGTTATATAAAAATATATTTTCAATACATACTAGGGTTTCTCATTTCCCGGTATTTTGCTTGTCCCGGGATCCCGGGATAAAAGTGAACTGTTTCCCGGGATCCCGGNTGAATTTTATTATAACGAGTTTCCTTGAATTTCGTTTAGTTTCTTCTGAGATCGCAGCAATGCGTGACGGGTAAGCTAGTGTAATATAAAGGAGAAAATAGAAAATACAGGCAAGTGCTCTCTTAAACAAACTGCTCCTTTATCTAATGATCTGTTAAGTGGACTTGAGTGTATTATTATTTTCCTTTTTCAACTTGATGCTTCAAAGATTGAAGGGAAAAAAATTAAGTCCAAAAATTTATTTTTTGCTTAAAAGGAATAGTTTTTATTGCTTTTATGTTTTTTTTTATTAATTTGTTCATTAAACTGAAAATATAAAAACAAATTTAATATGACTTTTTGCAAGAAACTTTCAATAATTTATGTAATAGATGGTATTACAAATTTAGAGTTCTAAAATTCTGGAAAGTCAGGGAAAAGTCAGAAAAATTAATCATTTTCAAATGAAATACTATTTTTATTTATCATTACAAGTCATACTTAATTAAATTTTACTTCATTCTTGGATGTTTTCACACTTTCTCAGAGTAAGCTCAGTTCAACTTACCACATTAGGTCTATTTCAAATTTACCACCCTAGGCCCTTAGTCTTGACTCTTGAATTACATGTGTAGCAACATGAACACGTTGAGGATGTCACATGATAGGAACATATTCATTGAATTATTCAAATACAGTTGACCCCCTATAACACGGTAGATACATTCCTGTTTTTATGAATCCATTTCTTACGAGTCCAGCCAATCATAGCCCGGCACGTATGCAGTTTACGGACTACGGATGTTTGAAATGTTTTCTTCCATAGAATTAATCGATTCTAGACTAATTTGACTCAACATTTCCAAAATACATATAATTTTTTGGGAATAATCCATATAAAGTATGCTATAAACAAAAAATTGTAGGATTACTTACTGAATGTGTACCATTCGACTATGTCGTTGCTTAAGCTTGTTTTTGTTGTGGAGATTGCCATCGAATGGCACTCGCGTGCTTCCTGATAAATTATTTTTTTTGCAAAAAATTTGCTGAACTTTGGAGACATCGTTAATATAAATATACAGGTATACCTCGCCTTACGTCGGTAATTGGTTCCAGGAGAACGACTTAAGTCGAAATACGACGTAAGTCGAATTTACTTGTCTCCAAATCTACTTGTCACTAGGCTAAACCATAAATTGCCAATTCCGGTTTCGTATTTTATTTAGTAATGCATTTTTTATAATGTATGGTTAATAAGGATCTATTTTAAGCTTACAAACAAATAAATTTTAGTTTTTAATATAGTACAGAAAAAAAGTAATCTAAATTTACGAATGCATGTACTGTAAATACAGTACATACTTGTAAATGTATATATTTTAATATGATTTTATGTGCTTTAAACATTTTTCTAGTGATATTACGACTTCAATATTTGTGGC